CACACCCCACACACACACACACACACACACACACACACACACACACACACACACCCCTTCAGGCTCAGGCTCAGTCACAGCAACTGTGAGGTGTTTCCTGCAGAGCAGTGAAACCTGAAATATCCAGCTCTCTCTAAATGCTAGCAAACTCCATCATTAATCATGCTATGCCCTACAGCAAGTTGTGCAACAATGTGCTTTCCCCTCAGTTTATCTTATTTGGTAAAATACAGATACATTTTTAAGTATACATTTCAATGGCACTAAGCACAGTCACATTGTTGTGCACCATCACCACTATGCAATGGCCCCTCATTCCTTCCTCCTGCCAGCCCCTGAGAGGCACCATCCTCTATGAATCTGACTACTCTGAACTTTATATAAGTTAAATCAAACAGAATTTTTTTTGTGTGATGAGTTTATTTCACTTAAAATAATGTCCTCAAGATCCATCCATGTTGTAGTATGTGACAGAATTTCCCTCCTTTTAAACACTGCATAGTATTCCATTGCATTTGCAATCATATTTTGCTTATTCACGCATCTGTTGGTTGACACCTAGGTTGCCTTCACATTTTCACTTTTGTGAATAATGCTTCTAGGAGTGCAGGTGTACTAATACTTCTTTGAGACCCTGCTTGAAGTACTTTTGATTTATTCACAGAAGAGGGATTTCTGGGCCATATGTGACTACCACACTGCTTTCCATAGCAGCGCAGCATTTTACATTCTCACCAACACAGCACAGTGGCTCCATTTTCACTACATCCTCACTAGTACCTGCTATTTTCTCTTCTATAGCAGCAATCCCAGTGCGTGTGAGGTGGTGTTTCACTACAGTTTTGATTTGCACCTCACTGGTGCTTCATGATGCTGAGCATATTTTCATGTGCTTAGGGACCCTCTCTGTTTTTGGAGAAATGTCTATTTAAGTCCTTTGCCAATTTTCTAATTAAGTTTTCTGGGTTTTATGTTGTTGCTTCAGGCATTCTCTATATAGTCTAGTTATTCATTCCTTATCAGATATATAATTTATAAATAGTTTCTTCCAGGGAGTTGCCTCTTTGTTCTATTCATAGAGTCTTCTGATACCCAAAAGCTGTTAATTTTCATGAAGTTCAGTTTGTCTACTTTTTATTTTTATTGCCTGTGCTTCTACTGTCACATCCAAGAAATCACAGCCAAATCTCATATCCTGAACCTCTTGTCCTATCTATATTTTCTTTGAAGGATTTTCTAATATGAACTCTCATGCTTAGGTCTTTGATTCATTTTGAATTAATTTTTATTAATGGTGTTAGGTAAAGGTCCAACTTTATTGTTGGCATGTAGAGATCCAGTGTTCCCAGTACCATCTGTTGAAAGTACTGTCTTTCCCTACTAAATGGTCTTTGCACCCTTGTTAAATCATTGAACCATGCATGAGGGTTTATTTCTGGACTATTTTATTCCATTGGTCTGTTTGTCTTTTTATACCAATACCACACTGTTGTGATTGCCTTACCACTGTAGGAACCTCTGATATCAGGAAGTGTTGGTCTTTTAACTTTTTCAAGATTGCCTTGTCTGTGTTATATTTTAAACCTTAATTTCACCACCTGTAAAATGGCAATTATACTTGTACCTCTATTGCTGGAGAGAGACAGAGAGAGAGAGAGAGAGAGAGGAGCTGGATGAAGATATTTGAAACATTCTGTTCCTTGCCTATATTATTAAACAGTTAATATAAACGTATTAAAATTTTCATGAATATAAAGTAATATAAAAATTATTTAAGAATCATTGTGTTTTCCAAATTAACAACTGTGACGTATGCTTCATGGTGCCACACCTTCAGAAAGACTCAACCAGTCTCCTGGTATGTATGGGTCCTGTGTCATTGCGGTCGTCAAGACACATGATAATTGTGCCCTAGCATGAGACACTTAGTGTCTCTGGTTTGGGGAGGGTGTGTGTGTGTGTGTGTGTGTGTTAAATTAGCACATTAACTGCCTTGGGGTCTTTGAGGATAGAGGAGACAGAGTTAAGCTCAAACACTGGAATGCCTCAGCCTCGTGCCTCGCATGGGGTAAATGCTGAGTGGAGGCTCCCTGCCCATCACTCCCTTTCCTCTTCTCCTTCTCATCTCTGCTACAGATAGCTTGTTTCCTGGCTTTTCTCTTTATCCCATGAAAAATACACCTACCAAGGTCTCTGACCTCGGCATATGCTATTCCATTAAAGCAATAAGAATAACTGCCCCCAAACTATGACAAAATAATACAGCTCCTCCCTGGAGGGAGCACTGAGTCCATATGGGCTTCAGAAGCCAACCAGATGTCTCCAGCTTTGAGCAATGGCTCAGCCTGGTGCGGGGTAGGCACTGCTCTACCCCAGAGGTTCATGTGTGGAATTCCTCTGGCATGTATTCAGCAAGAACTGTTTGCTGAGGGTGTGCCACCTAGGTTTGTGCCCCCTAGAACTCCCTCTCTCATAGAAAGTCAGGTAAATACAAAAAAGTAATGAGTTTCAGGTAAGCAGCATAAAGCTGTGAGCCCAGTGGAGGGTCTAACATGAGGCTTGATCTGTTTCTTCTGCTTCTTTAAAAAAAAAAAAAAAAACAGAAACCGACAAACATGTCTGTGATGAAATCCAAGTAATCAAGCAACCCACAAGTTTGCCAGGAACAAGGTTACTGTGTGACAACCCCAGCTTGAGATGCTGGCTATTTGGGAAACCACAAAGGGCGCACATATGGTCAGCTGTGCCGTGACTCCAGGAGATGTGTTTCCAGACAGTGTCTGCTACCCAGACATTCAACAGGGAAAACCACACCCTAATACACCAGTGAGAATTTCAGATTAAGGCTTCAAGCTCAAGGCCCTTCATATTTCCTCTTCATTTCTTTCACCTAAGTCTTCATCTCTATGAAATAGTACACAGTTGCTGTTCTTGGAAACAAATCTCCTAATTCTGACACAAAAGGGCATGTTTTCTGTCTTGCTTCATTTCAAAGGTGAATTCAATAAACATCAGTGGTAAATGCAACCTGCACAGGAATAATGCTCCCCAGAGCCCCTTCTAATTATTGGCTGTTAAATTTTGGGCCCAACCTTGAAAGAATGAACAAAGCTGTTCTATTAAATTAATGCAAACGCTCTCCTAAGGATGAGATGGTTAACAGATTACCTTCTATAATACTCCAAAACACAAGACATTTTTAAAAAAATAGCTTCAGTTGCATTTTTAAAAATAACTTAAAAATTTAAAAGACTATGATGACAGATTTCCACACCATAGAGATTTTTTTCTGCTGCTGCTTGGAGCCTGATGTCCTCTTTTATCTTCAGTGTGGTAGGGTCATTGTTCCTGGGAGGGTGACTTTACGTGCTTCCAGAGCCAGAACTTTTCCACAAAGGAGGCTGGAAAACAGAAAGGCAGGGAAAAGTTCATTTAAAAAGAACTGCCTGGAAGCATTTATTAAAACCAAGAGTTCTTATTATTTTAAATTTGAGGGAGGAAAAGATATTTACAGTCCCATTGAGTCCTCTATTTTTCATAAGTGCCTCAAAATATAATTCCGATGTCTCAAATATATTGGTGTGTCAAAAATTCTCAAAGATGTGACATTTTACTTACCAAACAGAACATGATGTCTATAAATTATCCAAAAAATTTTAAGAGAAATGAATACTATGTGCTTACAGCAAAGTGGGAAAACCAAAATGTACTGAATTGATTATAAAACACACCGTCACACATACAGCCCACACTCCACTGCCACTTAAAAGACACTAAAATGGAAACAAAGTCTTTGTAAATAGGGAGGGGTGATGGGTGGGATTGAAGGGAGGGCAGGGGAATGGGGAAAAAAATAAGAACCAAGATATAGCATGTAAAGGTACAAATTCCCAATGATGAATGTTTTCACATTGTATACCTAAAATGTATCAATATACTTTTTAAAAAGATGCTTATTATTTATTCCTAGCCAGACTGCAATTTTACATACTTGGTCACAGCTCTGAATGATGGTGAAATAACTCCATTAAATTTTGGAAAGCTTGTAGAAGTCTATGAAAGTGATAGAATGCGAAGTCCAACTCTGGTCTTTGCTATTCCCATGGCAGCTTCCACCCAAAGAAGCTCCACATGTGGTTCATCTAACCACACCAGCACATGTGGACAATGAGTCTTGTCTCTGCGGCTGAGGGGAACTATGAGCTGTACAGCCACAAGGAACATAAACTAATCCAAGAATCTGGATCATTCTGCCTTTGAGAAGATGGCCAGTCCCCTTCTTGTCCCTGATTACTTCTCTCAGATCCTAAGTTACTGAGTCTGAGTCCAAGTCCCTGCTGAGATAAAAAGAATGACAGAGATGCATGGGAGTTGGCATGTAAGATGGGGGATTTTAGGCATCAGGTTTACTGGATTGAGGGTGACCTAAAGCAGTAGTAAAGCATTATTTTGGGTGTGTGTGTACAAGGCATTCCTGGAGCGCATTATCATATGAATCTGAGTGAGTGGGGTGAAGGGCCCACCACCCAATCAGTGGAGACCTGGATAAAACAAAAACAGAAAAAGAAATTTGCTCACTCTCTCCTGGATCTGGTATCATGCTCTTCTTCAAGTCTTGCACATCAGAACTCCGGGGTCAATAGCACTGGGACTCCTGGACTTAGGCCAGTGGAGCTCCAGCTTCTCAGACTTTCAGCCTGGAACAGAGAATTACTCCTTTGGCTTCCTGGTTCCAAAGCGTTTCAACTTGAACTGAGTCATGCTACTGGCATCAAAGGGTCTCAGCATGTAGATGGCCTGTCCCAGGGCTTCTCAGCCTTCATCACATGACCTAATTCATTGCTGGTATAACTAGTTGAGATGAGCACCTGATCCACAGTGACTCGTGTCCTTAAAGGAAGGGGAAGTTTAGAAACGCACAGAGGGAGTCACCAGGAGAAGAACATGTGAACATTAGGATGTCCATCTCCAGACCAAGGAGAGAGGCCTGAAGCAGACCCTCACCTCACAGCTCTTCCTCCAAAGGAACCAAACCTGCCAGCACCATAATCCCAGCCTTCCAGTCTCTGCAACTGTAATAAAGATCTCTTGTTCACCACCCAGTCTGTCATCATATAGGACGCTCCTCTGAAGTAGTAAATCAGATTGTGATTGGAACAATAAAGTGTAACCAGGAAAGAGAAAGAGAATAGTGTGTGCTCAAATGAAGATGAGGAGTCTGAGTTATTCAAGCATCATAGGTATGCTAAGGACATTGGATTTTAGTCTATGGTCAAACCCAGGAAGTGGCATGATCAAGATTGTCTTTGGTATTTAGAACTCAGGAAAAGATGATAGAGACCTTGCTTGCTTCTTTAAGCAGAAAGGAACCTAATACAGGCAATTACCTGCTTACAAATTGTTGAATTGCCCGGAGCAGCAGGAGTGGACTGGGCTTCAAGGGCAGGCTCCTGGAACATCACCACAGAGCTCATCTTCCAAGGGAGCCATCATTACTGCTGGGGTTAGAACATACCATGGAGGCAACAATTTGGCATCTAAAGGCTATAGCCATAACTGTAGCTACAGAGCCCACTCCACCTGCTAGATGGACTCCTGTAGGCACACACAACTGATGGGCCCACACCTGCTAGATGCACATCTGATAAAGTCACATTGCTAGATACACACAACAGCAAGAAGTGATACCTGTGCCAGAATCTCTCTCCTTTTCTATTTCATTCTCCCTCCCCTCCCCCTTCGCCTTCCCTCTCCCTCTTCCCTTCCCTCTCCCCCACCCCACCCATTTTGCAGTAATTTACATCTGATTTTGCAGGGCCTACATGAAACCCAAGTTGCCTGGAGTCTAGGAAACTCAGGCTTTGGTTATCTAGCTTCTGTACCTTTCTCTTCTGCAGAGGCTGGAAAGCAGAAGGCTGGATTTCCAACCAAGAAAAGGTTGGGATCGATGTTGAATATGCCAAAGTACTGCATTCCCTTGGAAAGATCACTCAGGTTACTGGGTGGAAAATGGATCAAGGGAGGCAGAGGAAGAGGAAGGAGACTAAGTAAAAGACAGTAGTGATAGTCCAGAGAAGAGACAATGCCAGATTAGGCCAGCAGAGTAGAGACACCAGGAGGCCTAGTTCCTGCCTTCCTCTCCAGTCTCATCTTCCTCTTCTCAGTGAGCTCTCTGCACTGGCCATCTCCCCCCTCTTCTGTTATTTGAATAGCACAAATTTCTTCCCACCCATGGGCCTTTGCCCAGATTATTTTCTCCACTTGGGATGCACTTTCTTGAGATTAATTACTCTTACCAAATCCCAAATTAAACATTGCATTCTCAGAGAGGCCTCCTCTGACCATTAAAGTGACCTCTAGCCAATCCACTAATGAGATTGCCTATGTTTTTAAGAGCAGTGATAACACAGTGAAATTTTCTTGTTTGTTTGCCCTCCAAGCAGAAACCTCATATGCTTGTTCCTGTTTATGTCTTCTGAGCTTAGGAGAGTACCTGGCATACAGCAGACACTCGGTAAATATTCACAGAAGGCGCTAAGATGTGGGAGGGCACAGATGTGCCAGAGGTGACATTTGAGTTAGCTGGCTGGAAACCTATGTAGATGATGATGCCACAGAGATTTGAGGAAGTTTGGGGGTGTTACACAGAGTTTGGGAAGGAGAGGAATAAGGAATTCAAGTTTTTGACACATCTAAAATGTCCACATGGCAGCCAGAATGATGGAGCCCTGAGAGGTCCCATCCTACTCCCGAGGACCTGTGAATATGTTGCCTTATATGGCAGAGGGGACTTGGCTGACATGAGCAAATGAAGACCTGAGAGATGGGGATCATCCAGGTGAACTCTATACAATCACAAGATCTTCATCAGAGGGAGCCAGGAAACTCAAAGAGAGGAGGTACACAGGAAGCGGAAACTGGAATAATGTGAGGAAGGACCCAGCAGTCAGTGGATGGAGGTCCTTCCGAAAATGAAAAACATTTTAGATTCTCCCCCATAGAGCCTCCAAAGGAACTGGCCCTGCCAAAACAATAACTTTGGGGCTTCTGGCCTCCATAACTATACAATAATAATGTAATGGTTGTATTTATATGGGCATGTGTGTATGTGGGGGGTACTAGGGAGTGAACCCAGAGCCTTCTCACTGCCCAGCCCTTTTTAAATTATTTTTTATTAAGTGACAGGGTCTCTAATGTATGCCACTAAGTTTGTGAACTTTTGTTACAGTGTGGACAGGAAACTAATATAGCCCATATTTCACGTGGAGATGTCATGTAGACAGTAAACAAGTGTCTGTATCTCTAATTATTTGTTAGGAGTAGAATAATCAAAGGAAAGACCTTTTAAGACCTCACATATATCATTAACTTTCTTTACAATCACACTGCCAATTAGCTCTGTTGTGAAATGTATGCAAGAGAACCAGCTCACCATACCTATATCATGATTAATTATTTGCACATTTTATGTCTTCAGATTTGACAGTCAAATAATGTTCATTGCTCTGCTTGCCTTTCTTTACTATTGAGATAAAATCTTACTCAGATTTTTATTCACAGAGTGTCATTTCCTCCTTTGCAAATTATCTATTTCATCTTGTATCAGTTAGGATGACTTCATTCCAAGTAACTGAAAGTGGCTTAAATAAAAAGTATGTTAATAAATCTCATGTCACCAACAGTCTGGAAGTAGGTCCTTTGAGGCTTAGTTCAGAGCACCCATGGCTTGTCTCCAGTCAATTTCTTCATGAATTTTTTTTGTGTGTGTCACCTTCATGATCACAGCCTGCTATAGCCTCTGAGCACTGGAACCTCATATAGTCCTCCACAAAAGCAGGAGGGAAAGAGGGAGGGGCTTTTTCCAGACTCCACTCTATCCTGTGTTAGTGGACAGAGCTGTCATGCACGCCTGCTCATATGGGGTGCATGTCTGTACGGTAGCTGCAAGGGAGGCTGGAAGGGTGAGCTCCTGGACCTTCTCTGCCTGTTTTGGGAAAAGCCTTTCCCAGCCAGGGAGGGGAGTTCCCACACATGCCAGACACAAGCCCTGTTCTGGCTTGGGCAGAACATATACTAGACACAAGCCCTGCCACAGTCTTAGCATTTTTCTTATCTATTTGCATGAGCTTTAGAGGAAAAATAGCAACACTTTCTCTGTTACTGTGTGGCAAGTATTGCTCCATAGTGTGCTTTTTTATTTTGCTTATGATTGCTTTCATCTTTCAAGCTTCTAAGGAATGATTCATAAGACAGCAATGAACCTTTTGGAGCTTTCAATGATACCAACATCTCACTGCAGCACGTGTGCCATAGATTTACCACCACCACTTCACGATGTTGAAATAAGATTGAGGGCCCACCTTCTCCTCTCAGAAATCATAAAGAATTCATCCCAACTGACCAGCAGTACAGAGACCTACTGTACATGACACTGCATGTGCTATAGTCTACTCTACTCTCCTATACGGTGGAATACAACCCTATGATAACAGTATTCACTCTTCAGGTTCTCAGGGGGCCTGAACTCAGAAGACTACAGCTCAGCTCTCAAGAGAGAGAGAAAAGGGGTGCTGAAATGGTCATTGCCTGCAGAAAAAGAGATGAAGTAACAGAAGATAGGGTGCTCATCCCTTCTGCTATCTTCCCTGCACCCCACTGGCAGTAACTCTGGCCCACAGATATGGCATACATACTTCAAATGCATTGATTCTGACTCATAAACATCTAAGGATCTTTCACATACACCCAGCACCTTCAATGTTTGGAAGTTGGTTGGTGATGGGGGTTCATACCATTTACTTTGAGGTCTCTCAAGCACATCACTTTTATAAGGCAGGTCTATTATGGCACCTTTGCTAATACAACAAAATCTCACTATCAAACACATATGTCAATCTTTCAGGTCTCCTATGGAGCTGCTCTCTGGCTATCATGCCTTCAGGGAGGCTATCATAGCTACAGATAAGCTATTATGGCCCACCCCACATCTAATCTCCACCCCAAGCCCACTCCCTTTCAGAACAGCTCCAGAAAAGAAACCCAAGGTTTGATGTCCATTCCTGCTCCCTGGTCCTCCAGTGGCACACAGATGCTTCCCTCTTTGCATCAGTCATGATTGGGCTGTCTAAACTTCAAATGTTTGTTATTGCAGAATATTGGATGCCTGCCCAATTGATCTCAGATTTCAAATCAGAAATCATTTTAAATTCCTCCACTTCTAAATATATGATTTATCAGGTCCATTGACATGGGTGGTTGTAAATTTTTACTTTTTATCTTTAAACTGCTACCTAAAACCAAAAAATGCATATATTAATGAGGTGTGATGTTATATTTCAGTACATTTATACTTTGCATAATCTTTACATCAGATTAAACACATTTATTTCCTCAAACATTTGTCATTTCTTCATGGTGAAAACTTTCAAAAATCTTTTTTCCTAGCTTTTTAAAATGTACAGTATATCCTTGTTGTCTATATTCACCCTACTATATAGTAGCACACAGAATTTCTTGCTCCTTTCTAACTGTAGCTCAGTACCCACGATCAGCATTACCCCATGGTGGTGACAATGTTTTAAGGGATGCTTACAAAGAACATATTTGAGGCCCCTAAACAGAAACTTTGACATGTAAAAGTTGCTTGTTATTATGGAGGGGTTGGGTACAGCTAGGTCTTCCATTAATTTTTGTGACTGTTTAACAATAACCAAGCAGAAGATCAATGAGTTTAACACTGTTATTTAGAAGGACACACCTCAGAGATAACTCCAACCCTTTACTTTAAGCAGCTCCCCTAAGCTCTCAGTCCAAAGACTCAGTGGTCTAATGGCCCCTACTAAATGGATGTTCTGAGGCTGCCACCCCAGCATGTCCCATCACAATAAGCAGCCACCATTAAGGCTGTGGTTTGAATGTGCTGCCCAAAGCTCATGCACTGGAAACTGGGTCCCCAGTGTGACAGAACTGGGAAGTGCAGCCTGATGGAGGTGTTGATGTCCTAAAGACTCCATCTTCATCAATGGCTTGAGCCTGCAGGTTCGATCTCTCGCTCTCTTTCATCCTTTCACCTTCCGTCATGGGATGATGCAGCACAAAAATCTTCATCAGATGCCAGTCCCTTGATCTTGGACTTCCATCTCCAGAACTATGAGAGATAAATATTTCTTCTTTATAAATGACTCAATCTTAGGTGCTTTGCTATAGCAGCACAATTTGGCAGACTAAGGCATTTACCAAAACCCACTTTCTCCCTCTCACTCCACCTTTTAATCAAACCAGTCACCAAACTTTGACCATTGCATCTCTCAATGCCCCTGAGGTCTGTCCCCTTCATTTCATCCTCACTGATCTTGCCCTACTTCTGTCTTTCTTCTTGTGTCACTGAAATTTCTACAAAGGGCCCTGTCTCTGTCATTTGTCTGTTC